CTTTTGTTCATTGGTGATAAAATCTTTTCTATATTAACATTATCTCTGGTGCATTTTTGCTGGTACGCTTTTGCCTTCCCTATCCTGTCTTTTTCGCATTGTTTCCTGTTAAACGACTTTTACAGGTCTGTGAAAATCGGCATATCAAGTCTATCGAAAAACCCGAATATACTTTGGCAATTAAAAACTCACAAAAGCTGTAATTGTTTTAATCGTTGCCGTCTTAGTTACATTTAGGGGCACGATTATGAAATACAGCCTGGATTATGAAAATTGTCCAAGAAAGAATGAAATCGATGCTTATCTTCGTATAAAAAGGATACCAGAATTATTGCAGAGCCTAACGTGCTTGGTTCTTTATAATCAACCAGGTAACTTGTCTTTTTCGATCGTTGGTCTGCGAACCTGCATTTTTTCCCTTAACGTGTTTGTTCCTGCTAAAAACGCATTAGTTAATGAACAAAGAGAAATAGTAAGGAACTTTTTGTTAATGAATTTACGCGCGATTTAAGTTAACCGCGTTTTCTAACAAGTAGCGCCGTTTTGAGGACATGCCCAGACTGGCATTTGTTGCAACGTGGTAGTTTTTTAACCAGAGAGGTACCTCTCTTTTGTCTTTAATTTTAAGCACGACTGATTAGTAATACTACAAATTTTTAAAGTAATATGGCGCTGGTAGATTTCTTGCGTAGACGACACCGTAGATTAAATTGCATAAGTAAACCGTTTCCCGTTAGAATTGTATTCAGAGGACTAGGAGAGAATGGGTTCTCTGTCGAAATCCCAACTGCTAGCCTTGCTGGCTTCTCTATGCACTCCCGACTACACGACAAGCAAACGGCTGGGATGGCGACAGGAGCTCCAGTCCACTCCAGTCCTGAGAGAACAATTAACGGAAAATATATATTTCTGTTGAATCGTCTACGCAAGGAACATTCCTACATTACGTATGCTGCGAAATTTTTCCGTAGTGTTGATCAGCCATTTAAAAAAAGACGAAATGCTTTTTGAACCGAGTCACTTCCCGTCCATTCCATGGAATGCAGTTTTGCCCGGTCCTTGGGACGGGGACGTATGCTGCCAGGGTTACCAAGAAATTGCATCTTATTGACCTCGACACAAGCCAGTGTAGTCTATTTTTGTCAAAAGAGAACTGAGCTAATTGTAACATTTACACCAGTTTGGGAAGACCAGTTAATTATGTGCAGCCATGTCGTGCGCAAATTTTGTTGGTTTCTACAATAACTTCGGACGCTTGAATTCTTTTTATTGTCTTGTCAGACGTCGATAGAAAAGTCACTAAAAATAGCAATGAAGGCAGCGTTTGACTGTTGGCTTGTCTTATACATATTCTCTTCAACCACTTCACCTTAACACCAACCATGCAAGTGCGGATCCACGCCAATACGGTCGTATAGGTGAAAAACGTATTCGTACTGTTGTTGCTGTCTATGGCGGAACATATTTAGACTAATCCGCTGGAAAATCTAAGTCAAATATTGTACACAAAAAAATTCTGCGGTTGTATCACTGAGGGCAACATTATCCAACCCATGCCTGCTGTGGATGTGTCGAAACGAAGTTTTAGAAGTCCGGATCTTGTATTCTAAGCCAAGTTTTGCACTTGCTGTCGTAGTTTCAATACTTGAAAAAGTTAAGTTTGGAAGAAGCAAACAAGTTAACCAAATAGTGCATTCTGATTTTGTAAACAGACTTTTCGGACGTTGGCGTTCAGGGTGAATGCAGACGCTTCCATCTATTCTGAAATCTGTTATTAATATCACCGTAAAGAAAAGAACTGCCAGCAGTTATGTGCCGTGCAATAATAATGACTTTTGTTGTTCTTTGACACCTTTTGTACAGAAACTATATAGTCATACAGACTAAACAAACGCATAGAATCTTCCTATCAAGCACTTATGCGGGGCTTACATGGCAACAATTGGACTGAATCTGATAGTGTAGGCCAGCAGCGATATGTAATATGTGTGTCATAGGCAGATGTATAATACTCAAGACCGAAACAAACACATAAGCACACCGGAGCTATGCTCCTTGATCAACAAGCCAGGCACAAAGAAAGGAAGCGGAACGTTCTTCTAAGCCGACTCAGGGATTCATACGGATTGATGTATCCGGACAGATAGTCTGCCCTGGCAGCGATTTAAATTGAGTTATGAACACGGGAGGTGGTGCAAAAATTCCACTTTCTGCGACTGAAAATAATGTCTAGGACATGTTCAAATATTTTAGTCCCATACTTATGTATTCTCACGCGCCGTTAAATTATCCATTCTGACCAAAAAAAACACTTGATTTACAGTCCACTTTTTAGTATGCTTAGGGAACCCAGACTTCCATGATTAGTCTATTCGTATCAGGGATTAAAGTATCCACCTTATCTTGAAGAGCGAGTTCAAGAGAACTTCGAGCCATATTCCACCTAAGTAGCTTTAGGTCTATCGCAGCTGATTGCAATAGGAACCATGCTTATAACACTATGATTTTTATGTTAAACTTTTGCATGCGTCTTCCGGACTGTTCTTAAGTATCTTAAAACTGCCGAACCGTATGTGCAAGACACGCACCTGATTAACAATGAGGAACAGAGAGTCGCAGTAAATGATCCTATTTATGCAAAGTTTGTGCTTATTAGTCAGTTATATGACAACGTATTGTAAACTGTTCATGTCGATGACAGTTACTTTTTCCGTAGCGTTTGTCACAGTACGACGCAGTTGTTTTGAATCATTGTGCAAACCTAATAAAAATGACAAATTGCACGTTACTAAATCATAGCAAATGCCAATGCGAGTATGCTCGTCCAAAATTTCCTTCATTTTGAATAACGAATGTTTTGGAGTATTTCTATGATGAGCTGCCTCTGGTAGTCTTAGACTTTATTCTTACAGAACCTTCTGCTTTTCATAAAACAGCGATACAGCGTTATGGATGTTTTCCTCACAGGTTTTGCTAGACCCTTTTATGCACATAAACGAGCTCAAGTTGCATGGAATGTTTTAGAGTTTTCCCCCTGATTCAGTGAAAGACAGAAAGGGCTATGCTTATTGGACTTAATCTAACATTTATTGGGAACGACGCATTAGCTTTTCGGTAACTCCAGTGAAGATGCCACAGATTCGTATGTTTCAAAATATTAGTATGAAAAGTCAGATATATATTTCCCTTAAGATATGCAGATTTTTAGTGCTCAAAATATGGAGGTTCAAGGTAAACAAATAGTCAGATCAAAGAATGGAGCTTGCTAGACGCAGCATCTAAATGGTCCTTGAGATTGGGCATGCTAGCAAAAGAAAGGTGTCCTCCCGATGCCTTGCACACGGCTCCTGGCTCGGCCTTTTCGTCAGAGACATTCGTTAAGGTTGATTGAATTCCATTTGCCTACTGCAAATATTTGAACTTGACCAGTGTCTTATTTTAAACACGACTTTATCCTCTATCAGCTGCCTAGTTATGTGTATTAGACCTCGATAAGTCGATTTTGCCTATACTACTCCAAATCAACATCAAACATTAATATTTGTAAAAACACAAATGGTGTTCTCTATATGGAGGACTAAACAAGGACCTCCTTCGAATATTTAGCAGCTTCTGGATAAAATGTCGCTTATCAAAGCCTCATGAGACCGACAGTAATCGAAAAACAGTCAGTTTCATCCTTCGAATTTCCTCAGTCACATTGAGCTTATGAAAATCAAAACGTTGGTACAGAACCAATACCAAAAGCATAGGGTCATGTACTAACCGTTCTATTTGATTCTAGGTTCGTTTCATATGTCTGCATTTATTTCACCAGATACTGGTTTTTTTCTGTTCTTTATGGGCTAGAAAATCCTTATTCTTATATGGTGGAGCACTTGCAAAAACTGCAAGCAGCCCAACGGAACGAGGGTGACAATCCTTTCATTTTTACCCTGGAGAATGCGGAGTCGCTCTTTGATATGCTGGACCCAAACGCAAACGGCTTTATATCCTTTCAGCAATACAAACATGGTCTCGAGACTCTGGGCATCACAGTTTATGACCCACTCCCGTTGGGAATTGGCACCAATCAGATAACCAAAAAAACCTTTTTGGAGGAAGCGTAAATTCAGTCCTTTTGAATGTTAGTTTAATCTACTTGCCTTCTAGAGAACGAGGGTTGGCTTTTCTTTCGAGCACGTACGAGAATATTATTCGTCCAGCAGCCAGAAGACCAAGATCTCCGGCTGTTGAAGAACAAGTCGAACTTCCGTCCTGTTGTCGGAATTCAGCTGACAAGTTGCCTTCCGACGGACGTATATGTTGAAAGAGACTAGTGGGGCAGACTAAACATCGCTTTAACTCACTCTTCGCCCTAACTGACAAGAAAAGAATGTGACTGTTGTAGAGCTAAGTTCCCATTCAAGCACATATTTCAGATTTGTGACTTTGATTATTTTCCTAAATCAGATATCTGGTTCGCATGCTTTGAACAACAAATGAAGGTAGCGTCGAAATCAGCCCAGGTGTTTCACGTTTTTCCGTCTTTAGTCAACTTACATCCGTCTCTCAGCATTGCGACCCTCTCTAGGCGACAAAATGACCTACATTTAGACACACACAAATTATTTAGCGAAAAAATAACTGGGAGAACTTAAAGAACTGGATTCTTACGGAATAGTCAATCTCATAATAAAGACAATCTCTCGGTTTCTAGTCTTTGAATCTGTATCTCCCTTTTCCAAAAAAACGATGGCTCGAGGCGCAACACGGTCGACCCTCCTCAGGGCACTTTAACTGCGGAATATAGCCAGAAATGACGGACGGAAGTGGCCGACATTAAAAGCAATGTCAAAGTGCAATAGCAATATTGGCGAATTTTCTTCTATTTACAGCAGATATGCTTCTCATCTAGAAGACATTATTATGCTCGGTATGCGCATCACTGGCAGCACAGAATTTTGCAATTAGTTCGCAGTTAATGAATTGGTTGCATTAACGGAAATCTGCAAGTGCTAAGCAAGCGAGATTTAACGTCCCCAGGATTTTCGAAATAGCCTCCTTAAGGCAAATTTGTTTTAGGCAATCTGTAATTCGACAAGTGACATCTAACCATGTCCCTCTCTCCCATACATACATGCTTTTCGATCTTTGGCGAGATAGTCTTTTATAGGACGCGTAATATATAAGCGAGAGGAAGAAGGTGACGAAAAATACGAACAACGAGCCTGAAAATCCGCATTATAGCCCAAGGAAATCTCTAACGTTGACATATGTATCTCTGGACACCAAGGGCTTATCTTCCGTCTGAGATATGACCCGAAAATAAGGAACTAAAATATTCCTCAAACTAGTCTCTTATGTCCCGGCTCACGAGAAAGCCTCTGCGGGATGAGCTACTCCAAAATAGGCTGTGCAAACTTCAGATGTGAGCAGATTTTTATTTCAAAAGACAATCTGGCGAGCATACGTCTACTTTCGATAAATTTTCCGCAGGCCTGCACACTTATGTGGCTGTTGAAATAATGAATCGACAGGCACGGGTAAACAGATAATTATGCTGTAGCTCGGGTTTGGGGAGGGGAGGGGGGAGAATTAAACACCAAAATTCCAGTCAGAGCCAGGGGGTACACCCCGGGAAAGGTAATTATCTGCGGGTGGCTGGCTTGATGGCTTTGAACCATGGCAACTGTGTGACCTGTATGAGGTTCTTCTGTGAACATAGGACGGGGTTACGTAGCCTGATTGCAGCCGCCTCTGCGCTGCCCAAGTGGTTTTGGATAGCTTAACGGAACTTTGTAAATCACTCGGAATGCCTCTTTAACGTCTGCAGGTTGGTCTGCGTCAACCATGTACACTGTTGATGTTCTTTATTTGACCCTTTCCTAACCATGCTGGAAGATGTTCCTTTACTCTTCTGGACAAACATCCGGTCATGAGATCAATATACCCTACTAAACAGGAGTAGATGAAGCAGTAAATGCACATAGGGGTGGTCTGAGGTAGTAGTTTGTCCTTGCTCTCTCCGTATAGGATGGGACTAGTGGAGAACAGCACATTGGTGTCAACTGCTGAAAAAGTCAGTGATACAGCTCGAGTTAGGTGTCTTTTTAAAATTTCCCTGGGCGTGTCCCCTTAGAATGGGACCCTGAGGAAAAGCCTTTTCTTTCCTCCTGCCAGCACTGGGGCTTTGGTGGCCTTTCGGCCCTGTTCTTAGCAATGAATAGATCAGGGTATCCGTTTTGGTGAAAAAGACTTTCGATGATCTTAGGCTCTTTTTTAATGCTATCGGCTGAGCAGATTATTATCACCCTTTCTATCAAACGGTGGACTAAATTAATTTTAAAGTTTATCAGTGCGAAACTCTCAAAATGGTTTGTATTGTGCGGACCACGCCTTATTACGACAGGTGCTATGTCAATTACCGCCGTCAAACCTTCTACTCAGTAGCACGCTCAGAAAGAAAAGCAAACCGGACTGTTCTCCCAACGCTAATTTGATTGATGGGTGTGCCGGATTTATATCATCCAGTAGAACTTAGAAAAAGAGCCTAAGATCATCGAAAGTCTTTTTCACCAAAACGGATACCCTGATCTATTCATTGCTAAGAACATGGCCGAAAGGCCACCACCAATGCTGGCTAGTTTCCTTCCTCAAACCTGGCAATCATTTTCTTCTAGCCATTCCACTTCGAAAACTCGATGGAAGTCTGGAAATCTGGCTTCAGCGCATTGCCCGTGTTGTTAATTGGTTGTGTCAACTTGTTAAACTACTTGTTTTCATACCTTAACACTTGTTTGAGTTTTTTCCGCACATTGTCGGTACCCGCCAGTGGCTTCGACGGCTCTCAGATTTCTTCGTAATTTCAGTATTTTTTAAAGAAGTCTATACTGTTGGAGGAATTCAGGCCAATGCTTCACAGTTGTACAAATTCCCACCAACACCAATTACCGTCTCTACTTATGAAAATGGAGCATCTTAAGTGTGTCTATAGACATCCAACATCCTTGCGAATCACTTCGGTTTTGTAGCAAAAATGAGAATTGGTTAAACATTTTTGTAAATATGAAATGCTTCTAGTAGTGTCAAGACGCCTGTCTAAAGGGCGAATAATAGTCGCCATTTGTGTGGACGACCTGGAGCCGATACATGGGAATTCGCCTAAGCAGTCGGGATGGGCTTAGTATGAGCATCCGTACGGAATATTTGCACCTGAATGTGTAAGTTTTTCAAAGGCAGCCACGTCTAGTACTGCCGTGCTGTAAAGAGTCTGTGAAGTTATTATCGGGCGAACAGGAAAAAAATGAAATTTTTAGCTATAAGGCGGCACCCGCATGCAGGATAAATAAGGGGTTGCAGCTCCATTGTCACTTCTTATTCCGGATAATCCATGATATGTTTGCATTTTGCAAGGTTCACAGGGTCGAAAGTGTATGGGCTAGGTGAGAACGTTGTACGATGCGATCATAAGGTTGGCTTAGCGACCAAATGACGACAGCACCCTTCTTTCCCGTCGGCCGACAGTACCTTCACTTGCGTCGCAACCCAGGGCATCAGGCAAGGCGGAACTTGCCCGTCGTGCAGAAGTGAAAGATATCACGACACCGGAGTGTTACGGCATGGTATAACCCAGCAAGGAACGCGACACGACAAGTAACGTCTTCTGGCCGCCTGGAAGAGGGAAGATAAGTCCTCTTCGAGGATGGCGAAATGCTACGTCTGATTTCCGTCGCAAACAGCATGTGACGAGCGACCTTCAATCTCCATAACACTATGAGATGTCAGCCTAACCGATTGGCTTGCGGATGTAACTGACCTGTTTCTGTGATGTCACCTAACTGATGGCATAATAGTATCGATCTGGCTGGACTATGCAGTCGTGAGCTTGGTAGAAGTCGCAATCGGACATAAAACTTGAGAAACAGTGCCTATGGCAGCGGGCCACAGATACTACTTGTTCAGAGATTCGATAGGAGAGTCGGCACACTTGTGAGGCCAGAGTGGACAACGGATAGATATTACCTAGTTCCCCTTCACCAGCTATTTAACACCAGTGAACAAAAAGATGCATGGCAGACGGATGTTCGTGTTGATTGTGTATGCATCGTTTGACATTCCGTCATAAATATTTGTCCACCTAAAGATTACGTGAGCATGACATCACGATCCTCTGGACTGTAAGACTGTCCAAATCACGAACGGTTATTCTACTCAGCAGGGGTCCTCTTACCAGATAAGTCAGGCATTCACTTTGTACTACAGAAATCATTGGTTGAGCTTTAAATGCCATAAAACTGGTCATGTCTAAGCAGCCAGCACGAATGTAATCCTTAACGGTGTATATAAGGACAATTCCCAAGTTGGCCATGCACGCAACCTCGTAGGCAGTACTTTGATGCCCATCCAAAGGGTTATATGCAGGAGGATACGGACAACATGAACAAAAATTAAACTGTTGTTGGAATTGTTGAACAAAAATATAATCAGCGGTAACGGTTAGCAGAGGGATTTTGTCTAAAATCAAAATGAGGACTCAGGTTTAAGTTCCACTTCGCTGTATAAGGAAAGAAACACTGAGCGGTCCTTCGACGTTCGCTCACGGAGGGCGTGTTGGCCAGTTTCGGGCGCGTCCGATGTCACAATGAGGAGGTTTATCAGATCTGGAGGTAAGGATTCAGTGATTCCGGTAGGCATAGGACATCGTGCACAAAGTGCGCACCGAGAACCGTATAAACGTGATAGGTTTATATCACCCTATCAGTAGTAAGTTCTGCAAGTACGTATGTTATCGAGCGTAGACTAATACCATTTTCGAGGAAGTGATTGGGGGCAAGGAAGTTAGTCTCACGTTGACTTGAAATGCACCGGGAGCTTCGTCTGCATGCAAGCGACGGTTTTATTTCCTTGAGCTTGCAGGCGGACGGTAACGTAAAGGTTCAACCGCTAAAACGAAAAGGTGTGCAGATTGGAGTGGGTTAAAATATGAAATAAAAACGCGGTAAAATCACACCACATATTCAAGACGGTTGTAGATTATGTGACAGGGATTCGACAAATGCCGCTCAGAATCGGCTTTCGAGAGCATGCTGCTGATGAATGGCTAGAAGGTCGGTTTCAAGTCTCCATTTTATAAATACTCTCGTCCATAGTGCCGCTTACTAAAGGGGACCGAATTCAGCGAAATTCACCTCAGATGGTAGACGAGAATGCTGTCTAAAGTCCTCGACTTCCCACCCCCAGAAGATCGTGGAATGGGACTAATTAGATAGATAGAATTCATTATTTATGCACTGCAGTACTATGCTATTCGCAGAAAACTTGCTTCCATAGTTCTATGAAAGAGCATAATGAAGTCCTTGCGATAATGTTAGTCTAACTCTGTAAGTCTGTATGCGAGACTACGTCTGACCTGTTTTTATTGTGCCGGCGAGCTCGTCTACGGGACAAGATTCGAGTGTTCTACAGTATTTTTCATTATAAACTGTACGTTATTTCGAACAAGGAAGAATAAATGCCCTATTAGTCATCTAGCTCTTTTTCCGACCCTATCGTCTAAGCGGGTCAGCAATGTACTAACAGTATCTGGCGGCTCGATTGCCCTCGCGCTAGCTCCTATCCATACCCTCCCTCTTTCCTGACCTAGGCAATTTATTGAGCTGCGAGTATGGAATAGTGTGCTACCTTAAATCTCACCGAATCTTGACAAAAACAGCGGCGATAGTAGTCGTTAAGTCTAACAGTGAAACATAGTTTCTATAGTCTACAAATGCCGCTAGTCATCACTTCCCTTTAGCATTACGTTGTATGAACAGTATCAACATTAGGAAATATCCCCTCAATTACCTGGTCGTTAAATAGAAAGTCAATCATGAATCGCGGAACGTCCATGCCATCGAGAATTCCTGCAAGATTTATCCTTAACCTCTGATGATAAAGACCTGGCGGCATGTCGCAGACACAGATTTGATCATTCTGGTAAAACCTCTTCTTCTTTTGTGAACATCGTGATCCGGGTACGTCGGCAGCCCAGTGGGAACAAACGTCATCCACGGTCCTGTTATTAAGATATAGCATTTAAATGTTACTAAATTGGTATAAGTAGAAACTGTTTAAACATAAAACTGGTTTACCAAAGGCCTGCGCTATTTGAAGGGGGCAAGTTCAAATTGTTTTATTTCCGCAGACTGTTCAATTGCACAACTGCGCAGTCGAGGCTGACCTGGATGTCAGCACAACTGCTGGGAGATTTGGTATTTGCAATAAATCACCATACCGGGGGAAGGGGCGGGGGAGAACTGGTGAATGAGAGACCGCGTATTCGCGCGAACTGCGTGCGTGTTCGCACGCACGCCAGCGCGTGGGGGCATGTTCTGAATGGTGCTGCGGCCCTCGCAGGGCGGTCGCGATGTTGGACCACCATGACTCGCAAAATCACAAGGGGTGGGCATAACCACCCGTTGGTCTGGAATTTGCTGCTGGGCCAACGAAAGAGTATTATCAGTGGAACTCCTGCGGCGCAGAGCTGATCGCCTTCGGGGTCTAAAGTAGTGTGAAACCTCATGTGGCCATGAGCGTGCAAAGCCGGTCGCAAGACCGGACTGAGGCAAGTGAATGAGATTCTTTTGAACCCTAACTTTGAAGTTTTGGATGGAACTATGCAAAGGAGATGAGCTAGTATCTAACTTATCGGTAGCATATTCGGCACAAAGGAGAATACCGGACCTCAGGTTAACTTGTGTGTATAATACTTTACGAAATGCACCTTCGCCTTCATTCTGTGAGTAATTTCTACTATGGAGAAAAGGCTCAGATTTTTTTATGAACTCGTGTTTTAGGTTACGTAGTTGGCTAACATCTTCTCACAGACAAAAAGATACCAATTATTTCTTTTCACGTGATTCAAGTTGTCCAAAGCTTGTTCTGCCCGTAAACACTCGTCCAGCATTTAGGCAGAATTTGTCCTTCTGTCCACCATTTGATGACCAGAGTACGTTTTCTTTTCTAATTACCGTCGACGAACGTCATTTTCTATTGTTGCAGACACGAAATAAACGTCAGTAGAGTCCAACCCCTGAATATTGAAGGTGACTCAGAAAGAATTAACAGTCCAATTTTTCGTAGACCTTGGTTACACCCTCCAAACCAAATTTTAGATTGAAAATCGAAGTCGAGAGCAGCAGTAGCGAAGCCACACAAAGCATTCAGTAGTGATAATGCATTAGAACGTTCCATTTCCACCTCCTCATACTGATGTGTTCATCTTTGTCATGAACCCAATCATGAATTTTACCGAAAGCCGCATATTTGTCGTGTACTGAAGGTAAGTGAGGAAAATCTACGACCGCAGTACCGGTGTGGGTAAAGGCTTCGGAAAATTCAAAAATAACGAAATACGCGCAAAAAGGCAACAACTGTTGTCAGACATTTGTCAATATCCAACATGTCTTCAAGTAAATTTTACCAGCAAACACGCATTTAATCAGATTTTAGTGAGATAGTTGATGCAAACATTCCGCAAAACTTTACCAAGGGCTTGACGATGGCTTTAAAAATATAGTTGTCGACATAGCGCAGCATAACGGACAATCTAATTGACTGGATGGCCGAAATTAGCATTGCTGGCTACAGTATCGAACCAGCAGGCAGTACAATTATATGGGATTTCAATCTACGGACCGCTAAAAGTGTGACGTCATTAATAACACCAACGTCCAGGCAAGTATGTCCATTATACCTAAATCAATACCAACACCTCCATGCCAGTGTGTTTATGTGAGTGGTAACGGCTACGAAATGTTAAGAGGGAAAGTTGTCAACAGTCACTCACCCAACATAGACTGGTCGAAAATCCGGATTTAGGCGGATTTCGAAGACTAGTTTGTGGACGCCCTGGATGACTTGGTGCAGTTGAATCAGATAGCGTAGCCGGGCGCGAACGAGACCGTCCTCCACAACAATCGTGTTTGACCGGATCGCCAAACGGTGAACAGTCGCCGTCGCCTTGGGTAACGCTGCATGAACCTCATCTCTGGCGGAAGTCGCCTCCGGCATTGTTGTTGAAGCGATTATACTCGAAGACTTATTGGGAACTATAGAGGCTGCTAAGGTGGCAACTGTGGTCGCAGTTGTTGTGCTAACGTCGATGGATCGGAGTGTAGAAGGGCTGCGCTTAGGTCTTGACTTTCGAAACTGCTCACCGGATCTTCGGAAGATGTCGGATATCGGGTATAAATTACGATTGCGTTTTAAGAGGGTGCTGTGTGAAAGGAAGCCATTCTGTTGCAGTCGGCGGAGTCTCCGCTTGGAGATTGATCGGATATTCATGAGCCTTTCGCGGTTGATGACATCTTCCGAGGAAAGAAGATCTTTAGGCACCGCTCCCACAACTGAAAGGAAAGCAGGAGAATTACTTTGTCTGGTGTTTTAATCCGTCTAATACTTCAAAGCTTTCAAAAGTCCTACTGCCCAGAAAGCCATGTAAGCTATTCGAAAACGCCAGAGCACGTCATTGGGAATGATCCTAAGTGGAGGAAAGCGGTTGGGTTTAGAAAAAGACAAAAAATACAAAAGAGACACAGAACAACGCCACTGGTGACGGCGACGACGACTATGGCGATAATGATGGTGCCTATGGTGATTTAAAGGAATAATTATAATAATGAGGGGACAGTGGCGGTGGAACTGAAGGCAACGGCAGTCACGTGAGGGAAAATAACGACAGTGAAGATGGTGCTAACGAAACTGATAAACATAGTGACTGGGGATACTATTTCGAAAAAACGAGGGCGCAATGGGCAACCAAATGCGGACATAAAGGTGATCATACTTTAATCTAGAAAGTGACGCAATTCGAGCAACGAAAGTATGGTGATGGCTTGCGGATAAGACGGTTTGAAAAGATATCGGCAAAGTAATTTACTAAGTAAGTGGTTTGTGAGTCTTCTTACTCTTTCTTTGCATCTTCTTGAGTGGTGTATTGTTGAAATGACAAATCAAATGACATGGCTAAGGGGAACACATTTAGTTCGCAGAGAACATAAAGGCACTGAGTGGTGAACAGCGCAATCCAGGACAACAGGCGTTTCCGGTCTGTTCTACTTCCGAAAGTGGTATGGGATAATTTTCTAACGGCCCTTATCAATCCTACATCTAATCTAGGCTTTAAAAGACTTACCACGACGGAAAATAAACTCAAGCACAGACTGTAAAATTCTTGGGACCACTTTCCATTTTTCGGATGTGCTGGACCAAGCTGTTAGCCAGGATCGCAGGTAAACAGAAGGTAAACTAGCAGGAGCTAGCAGGCGTCTTGCTTTGAGCCTTATCATGCGTGCGATTCTGGCCAAGAGTCCCCTCTATGCGCTCGTGTGGGCTCTTTCGAAGACTGTTATGTCAAAAGTGGGTGGTCTTAAGATGTGCAAGCATCTGTTATGTTATGATCTGCGAAAGCAAACCACGACCCTCTCAGCCTGCTGTGCGCTGTTCTCTGGCAGCTGGTTCTCTGCCGATGGATGCGCTCGCACTCCTGCTGGGTATACAGGTCATGAGCATGGCTGCCCAGTCATCCTCATCTTTCTGGCCCATTGCCGTGCTGTTGTTGGTTAAAATGCTGGTCAAGTTTTGTTGTGGACTAGGAGGGTGTGGTGGTATGTCTAGATACGGGTCCGGTCGTGCTAGCCACCTGCGCCCTCCCTCATCTCCGGTCTTACTGACTGTCTTGACGTCGGGCCAAGGTAAGGAGGAGAGAGTGCGGTAGATGCTGCGAAAGTCTGCTCTCACTACAAACCACTTCACGCGCAGATCGCCGTGCCTGTTCTCACTTTGCTGTGGAGTACACGGTGGACATCGTCGGGCGGGGACTGAGGTCCAAGCCTCCGATAGATCGACCATGCCTGTCCGTCTGTCACTAGGGTAGACAACCGAATCAGGCAAGCGGGCGGGTGCAGTTATGTGAACGGGAATGGGCCCTCCGACGCAGAAGATCCCTTCCTTTAATTCCCACCACAGAAAGCAATTTCGGAGCAGGCTGCGCGAAAATGCGTTTGGAGGAATGGGGGTGTGACGGCCGGTTACGTGCACGGAGGTCACTGAAGATGGCCATCTAGCAAACCAAGGGAGCAGAATTTCATTCATAACTGGGGAGGGATATGGACCATCTAATCTAGCTGCCCTTCATCTGAATACGAATACCAAGCGCTTCAAGCAGATATCAGCAGGAAGGTGTTGACAAACGCGGGAGACATGAAAGTATTCCTCATCCCCAAGCACGTCGTACAAACAGAAGCTAGTATCCAATTCATTCCGTGACCAGATAGCAAACAAACCTGGATATGAGTGGGTTGCTGGGTTAGACAGCTCAATAAAATCCCCACTTCCTCATGCCTCACCTGCCAATTTCGTGAATGCAGCTACTCTAGGAAATAATTAAGAATTTGGCCACCTAACTGTGAAAGACTCGGTGGCCACAGCTGAATCAAACCGTGATAGAAGCATTTATTAATCCAATTCATCTGGTTGATTCCACAGCAGGTGTTTGGGGAAACCTGCCAGGCTAGTCGGCCTACCGTATGAGGACTGGCAGATTGCAGGGGTTGCGGTAGGCTGGGTCAGTTACTTGCCATAAATAGGAAGAAGTTAAGGCTCTTAATCCGGATCTCGTGGCTTATTTGGATAGAGCGCTAATAGTACCGAAATTTTCCGTTTGACTCAAACCCAGCTGAGCGTACCGAGCTTTCCAAAGTTTGGGTGTCATTTAAAATCAAGCAAATCTGTCAAAACTAATTTAAAGCTCTTCTATAATTGCTGAACTTGTTGGGGAACGGCTAATCTCGTCCATTATCGGGCACAAACTTGTGTCCGCCTGTATTTACTGTTTAGCCGAATTCGATCTAGAAGGCTTTTACCGTTAAGGCTGATTGCTGTACTGCTATTGAAGGGGAAAGGCAAGATAGTCTGGCGCCTCGGCACATTCTCATCCTTGCCGAACTCAAAGTTCGAGACCTATGATGATAGGACAAAATGGGCGGACAAGGAAGGCGCATTATCAGCAACCCATCGCCAAACAACCTAACCTCTGTGAGAACTGATGGTCTAATTTACATGGCATGTTGGCGGGCCAAAACCGATGCCATGTCCGAGGCAAGGCGTCTAGACGGAACGGGGATCTGGGCCTGGGCGTCTAGACGTTCTCGGCGCTGTGGGTGGTCCGACTCTAACTCGGGCCTGCGTGGGAGGGTGGTGGAAGTAGGAGACGTGCACGTCCCTTCGTCAAACCGGTGAGGTTGATTCAGCAGCACCGAAGCCAGCTGCTAGCCGCCGCTTCAGTGGTGGCAGAGCAAACGCCCATCACTCCCCTCAGTCCGCCCTGCAGTCCAAGTACCGAAGATACTAGTGAGTCGTCTGATAACTCACCTTCCACTTTTAATGGCTCGAAAAATCCGGTTCTGCGCACAGGGACGGCGCATGTCTTAAACTAGGACTTCCGTAGTATGGGTCTTCAACGGGCGTATTAACCGAGTTTACGAGAGGAGCATGTGGCATTTGCCTTTCATCCTACAAACGCACACGGCCAAGAAAACAGACGGGTGTTGTGCTCCTGTAGTCTACATAATAGCTCAAAGTCTCTCCCACCACACGTCCCAATGTTTTGACAAGTAATCCGCGTCCCGTTGGCGAATGCTTTTAGTAAAAAGTTGATTCAGAAGACAGTTCAACCGACTCATGTATCCAATAAATTCTCGTCAGGTTTGTACAGTAATATGGTAACTTACTGTATGGATGGACATTGCAAATGATTGATAGCAAATCAGACAGCTGACCGGGAAGAACTAGAAACTAAACCGCCTTACTATCGTACAAATCTGAAAAAAATTATTGAAAGCGTACATTCGCGAACTGTCTTTCCAATCAGTAAAAAACGTACGCGTTGACATTCGGCCAAAAATTCCTTTCGCCCACCCACCGAGGCTGCCGAGTTGTTCGTAATTGGGCATTCCATTGAATTGTTTAAATCTTCCAAATGTACACATCAATTCATTTTACCATGTTATCATCTCTTGAATTCTGGACTGATTACTTGAAAAATCTGTCTGGGCAGTCAGTCTGTTGTATTGAAATTAGTAAATTACAAGCGTTGCAGCAGGTTAAATGGGTAACTTAACCCAAATGTGGAAGACGCAAAGCTCTCGGTTGGGGTTTCGTAGAGCGTTGGTCGAACTTGGGCCTTACCCTTACCGTTGCTATTGAGCCTTCCTATTATTAACAAAATCCCGCCTAAAGGTTTCATAGGGGAAAGTAATGTTTCATGACTGCGCCCTGGCAGGACCCCTAAGTCTGGATGACACACTACTCCGTCCATCAAGAAATTTGTGGATTCAAGTAATCTCAACCTGCAGAAGAAAAAGAAAAACCAAAAGACTCTTTCCACCATCATCATCATCGTCGTCGTCGTCGTCGTCACCGTCAGCGACGTCATCACCAGCAACGGCTCCCCCACGGATACGGTTGATATCTTCTAGAACGGCTTAGTCCTATTCTCCGAATTTTTCTCAGGTTGAATAAATCCCTCGACATCCATGGTGGACTTTCCTCGGAAATTTTGCATTTAAACGAAACGTCGACCTTTTTTTCTCTTATGAAACCAAGAGCGTCACTTCATAGTCTAGCTGCTTCAAAAGACTTTGAGATTACGACAGACATGATATTATCCCAGACATTACTTCAATGCCCTGCAGCACTAAGGCCGGCTCACTCCTTAAATTCTACTCCGACAGTGCCATGTAGAATTCCATCACTTTTCGTCGTTTTTTCTTCTTTTTCCTATAGTACTTTCTGATGATGGTGACCATACCCTGGCCAGGAAACTCTTTCCAAGAGGCACAACCAAGAGAACAGAATCTAGCGTCAACTCCTCCCTTTCGAATTCCGAACAAAAATGCCCAGGTGCAATGTCAAGGGACAGCGACACAGATTTTTCAGTTCTACTTACGTCAGAAGACCACTTGGAAAGGGGTCGCACATACACCAATGCACTTTTTCTGTCGAATATAGGGCGTTAGCAATCCTCTTCCATTAGTATAGCCGAGCGAATCGGGCTAGAAAATACCGCGCACGAAATTCTGTGGGAGCCTGTGATATCAGCACAAACAGCCGAAATTAGTGGATTCTTTGATAGACTTCGATACCCAAATATGGATGGACAGCTGTCTTAATCTCCTGTTTGTTATCTGGTATTTTTCACTTTAAATTCAACTTTTTACTTTTTCATATCGCAATTCACTTGGTCAGACCGGAAAATTTTCCAGATCGCTCATAGAAATATGCGGACTGTGTTTGCAGGTAGAAAACGGTCCTCGATTTTACTTGTTATTTCAAGAAAAGGCAACGATCTCTGCTCTTTCACGGTAGTCGGTCCCTTTAACGAGATTCAGTATAACCAAAGAGCAATCAGCAAAAATACAATCGGAAAGGGGACTACTATATGCGTAGATAGATGGTTACAAATTAGGAGGCTCTCTGGTGCCACTTTGACTTACAATTCTGGAAAACTATAAAAGAGTTTGAGTTAAAATAGATTATCCAGTTTTGGCATTCTCCAATGTTGTCGTCCACGCTGTGGGGAGAGTTTGCGCTACACGCGTTTCTTCCAATGCATCATAAGTCGTTTGGAGTGAGTAGAAGCGCACTATCAGTTCCACTGCCTCTTTTCTGCGCCATTCGCGATAAAGACAGTGAGTTGAATGAAAAATTATGTGAGTGTGAGTCCGCAATTTATTTGTCAGAGCGTTAAATCCGAGAACACACTGAACCCGGCCGCAGGCCTCAGATCCTCCCGCCCCGTGGCCATCACGACGAAACTTGGCATTGAATCTCTCTCCTCTCATCCTCGATTCTCCATCTGCCCTCCTCCCCTTCTCCCTTTCTCCTTCAACACCAAATGGCACGTGCTTGCGCGACTGACTAATCTCTATCGTGAAATGTGCTAGTGTTATGCCACTGACAGGTACCAAAAAATCCCCGAGGCGGATGATTTTAAATCCAAAGCCCACTAGTTGTGAACGGAAACTCCATATATGTTATTCGAGCGCTCAGGACTCGTTCATAGATCATTTATTTGCTATAGAAGTGGCTTTTTGATGCTATTCTTTTGTACTCTCCCAGGTGCAATGCCTTCAGAAAGCTTGCTCGACCTCCCTTCCATTTAATTGATCATGGGAAAGATGAAAGGTCAGTACTGGGAAATCGTCTCGAAGACCCTAATAGTTCGCAGGGTCTTTTTGAATCCAGCAGGCTGACCCCACTATCGGAGATAAGAACATCTCGGAAAGACGATATGAACTTCTGTACTAACGGCTAAGTTATTCGTTGAATTTGAGGTTAAGGAATAGAGCAGCGAGGTCCCCAGTCCCAAATCTCAGACGTGAGGTCCAAAGGACTCTTAATAATTTGTAGGATTAATTCTGTTGTGAGGTTGTGGGCTGAACTGGATAGGAAGTTACAGGAAGGAAGTGGGGGAACGCTTCATGAGGCAACAGCTGGTCAGAAAGACCACCAGAGTGCAGTGGACTGGATCGACCGCCCACAAGGCAGCAACTAGGTGGCCTGCCAAAAGCCCCTCGTCGTCATGGCACTTACAAAGGCCTCTGCATCGTCCACTTCTTTCGAAAGGTCGCATGTGTCTATGTGGGAGGTTATGCGCACGTCTCCATATCCGCCTCGTCGTCCCTGCCTGTATGTAGGCGACCGATGGCAAAAAGACGTCAGAACACCGACTGAGGGTTGATCTCAAAACGTGCAATTCCTACCTCCCTTGACAGCCCCGTGTCCGGTCTCCCCGCAGTCACTTCCGAAATGCGCAAATTAGACTTCGCAAAAGCAAGAAATTCACATATACAGGTCTGCGACATTCTTGCAGACGAACCTAATTATCTGAAGCTCGGGAGTGAGGCATCTACAATGAGAGAGCGTCAGTTGCAAGTAGGACGGTAAACGTGCGGTCAGCGCCTTAGGTTTTTTAATAAAACCCCTTCCAATTTCTCAGGAAGAGGGGCAGCTGCACATTTTCCGAAGCATCTTTAGAAAGACATCATTCGCATGGATTTTGTGCTCGGTGGCTTTTTGGTAAACATGCGGTCTGCGTCTTCCCGTCAGGGCGGACAGCGGTCAGTTGCCGATGTTAGAGATCATAAACTAGTTTATGGGTAAATACAGGATTCACTGGAAGTTCTGTGAGGGGGCAAGAAGCGTCGATGTAAGGAGACACTGCACCTAGTTGTAAATGTGACTAAACTATCGCAGGCAGTTGCTGTCGGAGAGCATTCTATTCGGTGCAACTAATATTTATCCGCTGTCTGTCAACCAAAAACTTCCCAAAATAGGGCAATTACAAGCCATGTTCCTTGTTCCATAGTTACGCATACTTCTTCAAAACAATAAGCCTCCCCTAAATCTGCACCGGCAAATTATGGAAAGACAGCCAAACATACCAGCAAACCCCTTAGTAAAGTCAGCCTAAATAAAACGTATCACAAATGTTTACCAAAAGGTTTTAGATTTGGAGCTGGCAGTTAGGAAATTTTTAGTCTAAACAGGGAATCTTACAGTGAGGACACAGCTAAGCAAAAAACACTTGTGCCACCCTGCCCTCCCCCCCACATAAAACCGAATTGTGATTAATGTTAGGGCTAGGTTAAAAAGGGGATGTGACAGGAAAGTAAGGCCAGGTTAGGGGGGTTAGGGTTAGAGTCGAAGGTTGGAACTTAAATGAAAGCACCTGTGCTAGGAAAAAGTGATAAACGGCCGACCAATAGCCACCGTTCAGCTCAACTTATAGTCCGGAGTTCTCGGTCACAGAGAATCTGGAAAACCATTTTGGCGGCAGGCTGGTGCGTTTAAGTATCCAACAGTTCCCCCGGACTTCACCAGTCTAAATTGAGTGTGGACCTATCTCCATCCTCTTGAAGGCCAATCAATCTTGGTTCGGCGTCCGAAAATGCAGATGGGTCATGGGTAGAAAGAGTTTATAAGACATGTCGTCTTACTAGCAACGTCAATTCTAGGGGTGCCTCTTCTAGCTGGAACATTCACTTCTTATCCGTAGGTTTGTCTAACCGATAAACTAGGCCTCCTAGTCATGCTAAGAGAACATCCAGTTTTTGTATAATACAGATCAGCAAACATCGTTTTTACACTTCAGACGCACTGGCCGTACATACGAAGCACGCATGGAGCATAAAGTAGAGAAAAAGCCATTTAGGCAGCGATGCCGCCACCACCAAAATCAAACTCATTAATTGCCGAATTTATTGGAGGACCACTTTCTAAGTGAGGATGACAGTATACAGAGCATGACGAATTGCTAAGGAATGCCCGCGTGTTAATGTTAGCTGTTAAAGAACCATCCTACCTTGCTCTTTAAGGTTTTTTTTAATAAAGTGCCTTCCAAGTTCTCAGGAAAAGGTGCAGGTGCACATTTTCCAAAGCATATTTAGAAAGACCTAATTCGCATGCATTTTGTGATCCGTCGCTTTTTGGCTTTCCAGTCGTCCTATTCTGAATGGAGGAGAGCCGGAGTAAAATACACCTGTTCGTGGCTTGACTTTCAAAAAGGAAACGGTCTACAATACAAAAATCTACTTTTATTGGTGGGAGGGGGGCTATTGCTTTACATTTCACACAAACGGACCGCACCAACGTCTTTCGGTGGCCTATGCCGTGAGGTAAATGAAAAACAACCAGATAGAATAAAAGCACTAGACGACTTACAGCAGTTGAACAGCTGCAGCTGCTTCCACCCGTCAGATGCAGATATGTAAGCAGATGAAGGTTGAGGGTAACTTCTGTTGAAACGCCCGAAGAGATGGCCGCCATTCTTGCGTAGGGACCCCGAGAGGGACTGCCCCGCCCTGGACTGCTCCCGATGGGCCACATAGGCCTGCTGATTCCTGTGAATGGACTCCAAAGGCCCCGCTGACGAAAGCTTCGGCGGATGTGGCTGAACATCTGCAGAATGGCCCAGTCTTAGGGAGTGGCATGCCGGGGAGATGGAGCAAAGAATGCTGGCAAGGGAAAGAAGATAGAACAGAGTGCCGACGTAGCCGCAGGAAACGGATGATCGCCATGGCCGCACCTCGGGTCGCGGTCTTGGCAATACATAGAGATGTAGATCGTGTGGGCTAAAGGAGGGAGTGGGCAATCCCAATCCGTCTGCCGAATACGGCGGGTGACGATGGACCTCAAGCCACGACTTGTTGACAGACATCGACTGGGCAAACTCAAATGGACACTGTTTTCGAACGCGAGAACAAAAGAAAGGGGAAACGAGCACCTCGCCCTGCCGCACCATCATAATGTGGAATCTGGGTGCTGGGCTGACAGTCTCCTCTTATGTGACAGTGGGGCAGCGGGAAGCACATAGAGGAAAAGGGAAATTGCGCCCGGCAGACACGCAGCACAGGTCGCCGTTGGCTCGTACGCCCGCGCACCTCCCTCGCGTGCGTGAGTACGTGCGGACGTGCGCAGAGGGCGCGTCCGTGAGACGGTGCCGCTGGCACATGCATGAGTGTGCGCGAGCAAGGTGCGTTGGTGCCCGCGTCTGAAGCTGTCTGACTGGCTGTCAGACGACGCGCTTCTACCACACCCCAACAGTTGGTGCCGTCGGAGAGTCATTTCCTTGTACTGTTGACACCCGGCGACTCGTCGGGCGGGCAGTCGCCTAATCGGATTGCTTGTCTCTCTCAGCCAGAATCCCAGAACAGACTGGTCGTATGGCGACGAAAGAGGGGTGTGGGGTGCAGGAAGAGCGAGTGGAACAGGCGAATCGCCCACCCACCCGCAACATTTTGCCCTATCCCCTCCAGGGGGAGAATGCGCCAATGGTCGAGACAGCAGGACACACTGGACTGAGGACCCACAATTGACCGGTATCGCTGGCCTCGCGAGGGCGTCCTTGAAGTCCACGTCGAGCTCTTTAAAATGACCTGCCAGAAACCACCTGGAAGAACTGGAGAAGCTTGCGAAAATGCGGTCTTGACAATATATGACAGAGCAGGGTTTAATCAGGAGTCCTGGGCTCTGATAAAACGCTGCACCCCACTTAGGTACACAGCAGTGAGTGTTATTTTCGAGCATGATAAAGGAGTGGAGATCATCACTAAGATGACTTTTTGCTTTTTACCAAACGGATGAAGCTTGGACAATCGTTTGGCCAAATTTCTACTTTTTTAATGATAATTTTAAATTCAGATGATCCACGAGTTCTGGCCAGACATACCTGCTTTGGGCGCATAAATAGTATTCACGGTTATCATAGCTTGATTACAATATCGCGATTTTCAGACGTACCCCTCTTCTAAATTCAGTTTGAGGGACGAGTCCAGTAGTATGCTATAATTTTTGGATAGGTCCAGTGAAATTTAAAGGCTCTTGGAGTTCAACAAAGACGCTGTTATAACAAAACGAAGCACCCAAATGTCTTCTAAATTTGCATTTCTCAGAAACATTTTCAGGGAAGGCGCTAGTTAGATATCTGTCACGTGAGACGCCTTGATATTGAACCACTATCGATAATCACAGACATCCGAGACTGCTGTCTACGGTTTTCGTCTTGGAAAACGGCCTCAGGCACCGTTGAACTGGATAACCTCTTTCACCACCTTCTTTCAGATAATGTCTTCTGTATTCCTACATCTTGCGATTTAATTTTTAAATTTAGTTTTTCTTTTACGGAAAGCTGGTCCGAAACTCTTTTCCCCAAAACTTTCCTAACCAGTTGTCTTCAAGCTATTCGACATGTGAGTTTCCTTAGCACTGCTGACGTTACTTCGTTTTTGGATTTGTAAAGTATTCTGCAGGCAATTTGACTGGACCTCCCTATTTGACGTGAGCAACGGGGACATCGTTTTGCGAAACATTATTAATGAAGTCTCGAAATTTCTTCAGGCTCACTACCGAATTTTCAAATGTTTGCTTATGAACCGGCATGTCTAAACCTACACTGACAGTCTCTCTGAGTTATAATGTGGCGAGTGTAGTTAGGTGAAGTAGCCAGGTATCGTTATATCTATCATTGCCGAAAACGTCGGTTCCGAGGTTCCTTTGGTTTCTTCAGTCCGTGGAAATTCAGCGTTTCTCTGCTCATAATGACGACTCTGATAGCAGTCGTTGCTGTTCCCTCGAGATATTTTTTCTGCAGAACGAGGTAGAAAATTGCGTTAGCCTTTGACCCTGCAACTCAACTCACACTTAACTGAAGTGCATCGTCTGATCCTTTCAGCTTTCCCAAGTACTAATCGGCCTCAATAGCTTTGTGTTTCCCTGTAATATTCGAGGCCCGGTTCTGAAGTTTTGGTAATAACACGATGATATAGGTCTTAAAACGGGACTATTTCCTTTTCCGGTCGTTGGAATGTTCGTTAATTGTAAGTTCTCGGCTATAACAGGGTACATTTTTCCTCTTTAATTTGTTTAGTATTATATATTATCTTAGTTGGACATCCGTTTCATTCGCGAATTCTACTTTGGCTAAAATTATTTACAGTACGAGCAAAGACTTACGAAACCTACGCCAGCTTGGTCTTCTAATTATAACTGTCAAATGAGTATACCCAAAACAATTGTTGAAAGGAACATATTTCCGAACTAGTTCGCTGATAACGGCACGGTTTTTTCCATTCGATCTTCCCAACTGTCTAGGTCGATTTCCCGTTTAAAAAGAGTAAATTGGCATAAATATCCTGACCAAAGCACAGGGTTAACCTCTCCCCGCCAGCGAAGTTGTAGCAGCCAAGGCATTCAATGTGTTTTAACTGTCACACCCAAAGCCAGCTGAATAGCAAAAAAAGGATGGTGCCAGTGAGGGGTTTTGATTCTCCACGGAAGGGGAGTGGCTTTGTCAGTCAGTGGTGCATGCGTTGGCGCGGTCAAGGCGTACGCTGGTGGATGATTATGTGAGGAGCTCGTGATAGCATATGCCACTGTCAGCGTGGGGAAATTAGCTATTGGACGTGCTAATGCGTCTCTGTTGCCTAAGACCGAGACGGCGATCGGGCGGATCGGAGCAGCGGAACACTGAGGTACGGGTGCGGCTTACAAAACCACCCGTCGCCCCAAAAATTCAGCTTCAGGCCCGCGGTCACCAGGCGAGACCTACTTAAGGCGTGCACACTTCACTCTATCATTTCTGGTGATGTTCTTGTGTGTAAGTCTAGATCCTCCCAAGTCTATAACTCTTCTTCTCTCCTGTGGCATGTACAGACATTATTATTCCTCTCGAGCGTTTTGAAGAAGTTCAAGTTAAGAGAGTCATCTTCTGCGCTTTCTTCAAAAGTCACTTATCCCCAACTCAGCCGCCACCCAACTCCTTATCATGTAAAGGGCTGATGAAAGCGCCTGTGTTACATCTACTGCACTAATTCCATTGTATCTAGGGAATCAGTCGGTCTTCAGACGTCTAAGTGAGTTATTCTCGATCCTTTTTCCGCCAACTATTTATTATTTATCTACTTTTATGAGGGATTTATGTTCTGAGGGCCTTAAGATTATAAAAAGCCCACGTATTTCTTTTTGTGAACCTCTGCCTACTCGAACAAAACACTTCTTCACCAAGTGCATCCACATGCTGTCAATTCGCATGACCTAAATAGGGAAAGCGTGGGTAATACACATTACCTCACAGGACTAGGATCATAAGAAAATTTTAACCTGTATGTTCACTTGCTGTCTTGAGATCTCGCCTTTTTAAATGTTTCTACTGCGCCGAAAATTTAATTATTTTTCATTCCATAATAATATTTTTGCGCCTTATCATGTGTTTTCGTTCGAAATGATGCTTTGCCATGTCTTTAGGACATGTGACGAGTTTCAACGGATACTACGCATATATTCTTTTACATAACTTAGGAATTTTCGTCGTAAACGATCGAGACCGCGTTATCCCCCGAGTTTTTCGGGTTATCTTAACTCCGCTCTGTTATTTGCATGAAGACATCGAAAGAAAGCGCCCCTTTCATGTATTGTCTTGTAACAGAAGGGCTTGAAAGTGCATTCGTACAATGAGTGCAGTACGTTTTATTCAAAGGGATTATTGAACTTTAATCTCAAGCGTGCGCTTTGTTTTGAAGCATAAAGAGTTGTATTTTCTTCAGTCCAAGCTGCAACACATAATGTATGCCGAGATTCAAGCACAAAGGAACTACCATTTCATGTGCGCTTCCAGGTAGTAAGACTCACTTAAGTTGATTCGCGTGTAGCATGACCTCAAGTTTATTCACTTACAGCGGTATATCGCCTTTTGTTCCGACTTCCCTTCACCTACATGTATCATTCGCGCTAGAAAAAAACGAAATGCCTACCAAGAGTAATGCTAAAATGTTCAATTATTTTCTAAATTTTAAACCGTGTACATATAAGTCATTACAGCACAACTATTTCTGTCACGGTGGAGTGACCAACCGTCTCTTTCGAGTCGGCTCACATTCTATGCTGATGGCCAACTAGGCAACGGGGACATCGTTTTGCGAAACATTATTAATGCAGTCTCGAAATTTCTTCAGGCTCACTGTGCATGCTTGTTTTCAATTCATACCGGGGAAAAAATGCTTTAAATTTCTCAAACAGCACCTCCCCTCGGATATTATTAAGTCTCTGGACAGACTTCTACAATTGCGATGTAGAATAACGAAAGAAAACACACGGATTGAATTTCTTCAGAATTGCCTAAGCAGCAAGGAGTACCCAGTGGAGTTCTACAAGATCCTCCGTCGGGGAAAATTACGTCCTACCATGAAAAATCTGGACCGTCTTGCACAATCAAAAATTGAGGACTCGGTTGAGGCTGTCGACATAAGCAAATCTCGTTTGGACCAAACAAAACATATTCTCGACAAGCTAAGTTTCCTCTGCTGGTTAATGTTCATGAAACATGCGTGTATCATACAGAGGAAGACAAGAGATTCATACCGTTTTAAACTAAGGAAGTCATTGTGCAAAAAGTCTACGGACGACTATTTCCATCTGAGTACAGATGAAACTATCATTAATCTGTCTGACATCAAACTTAATAAGCTACAATCAGAGGCTTTATCACTAGGACTTGACTTTTGCATTCCAAACAGGAGATTAAACCCAGTTGAAATTGAGGCTCAGTTTGAAGACTTGAATTCTCAACTGTCTGACTTAGTACCCAGATCCACTGACGATGTCGGCTGATTGAAAGCAAAATTTGTGGACATTGCTCATCAGTACCGTAAAGCTCCTGTGACACAACGGACTCCATTAACCAATGAACACATAGCTGCCTTATCCGCATTGAAACGTCATGAACAAATAATAATTTCTAAGCCTGACAAA